TGCTGAAATCAGGGTGTAGTGTGATCTAGTGTGCATTTTGCCGAATTCAGCAATATCAAAATTCAGCAATGGGAGACAACAGTGATAGCAAGACTAGTGTGATGGTCCCTACTGACTACCTGAATGTTCAAATGACCTCCATTAAGCTGAATAGAGAAAATTATGTACCTTGGGCCAAATCTGCATAAATCTTTCTTAAGGCAAAGAAGAAAGTGAAGCACATAAGGGATGAAAAACCTTCCACCGATTCTCCTGAGTATGATGATTGGGAGCAGGCAAATGCACATATCATCACATGGTTATGGAATAGTAGGGAACYCAAGATTAGTGTAAATTTCATGTTCCTTGATACTGCCAAAGAAGTGTGGGACCATGCTAAAAAGTTGTATTCGGGTCAAGACAACACAACTAGAGTATATCAGTTGTACCAGGAATACTTTAATCTACAACAGGGTAATCAGAGTCTTGAGGAGTACTATGYTARTATGAGAAACATTCGTAATGAATTGAATGTTTATCACCCCCTCACTTCTGATGTCAAAATTCAGCAACAACAGAGAGAACTTGATGTGACTCGGTTTTTGGTGGGGCTGAAATCTGAATATGAACCAGTGCGGGCTCAGATACTAGAAGGGTCAACTCTCCCTTCCTTAGAAGAGGTGTTTGCTCGACTCAGGAGGATTTCCATTGGATCTACCGAGAACCCTAATATTTCTGATAGATCAGCCCTAACAGTATCCAAAGGCCGTGGTGTTAGAGATGGAGCTCGGAGAGCTCAATCTGGCCATAGTGGTAGTAGTGGACCGGCATATGGCCAGAGTGGTGGTAGTGGACCTACATATAACCGTGGTGGTGGTCGTACTGGAGGTCGAGATTCAGGGGGAGCCCGTGGCAGAGGACGTAGTTCGGGTCCAAGGAGGTGTACACACTGTGGTATGGATGGACATACCATCAATTATTTCTATGACTTGCATGGTCCACCTTCAACTTGGGCCAATCATGCCATGACTAGTGGCAGTAGCTTCAGACAGGAGAGCCATTTAGCCAATCGGGTACCTCCTACATCCACAGATGTTGCTGGGAAGGAGATGATGAGTATTCCCCGTGATGAGTATGAGAGGTTAGTACAAGCCACATCTCAGCAGAACACGGCCACTCTTGCACGCTCAGGTATGGCTTGTCTGACATCCACACCCCATCCCTGGATTATTGATTCTGGAGCCTCCAATCACATGACTAGAACTCCAGGTGTGTTTTCTTCCCTCTCTCATTGCTCAACATCACAATTTGTTACCCTTGCTAATGGTTCCACATCCTCCATTTGTGATGTTGGTAATGTTGACCTGGACCCTGTATCCCTATCCTCAATTTTGTATGTCCCTAAATTTCCTTTTAATCTTATGTCTGTTAATAAGTTGACCAAGTCTCTTAATTGCTCCATTACCTTTTACCCCTCTTCGTGTGTTTTTCAGGATCTCAAGACGGGGATGAAGATTGGTGGAGGGCATGAAGCTGGTGGATTGTATTATCTTGATGGTGGTGGAATTACGTCAACAGCTCTCCAATCGTCCATCTCTCCTCTCCAGTGGCACTATCGATTTAGTCATCCTTCATTGAAAGCTTTGAAGTCTTTGGTTCCTTCAGTGAGTCATCTTTCTGTTTTAGATTGTGAGTCGTGTCAGTTGGGGAAACATCATCGTGTTCCCTTTAGTCCTAGAGTTGATAATCATGTATTGAGTCCTTTTTCTTTGGTTCATTCAGATGTTTGGGGTCCTTATAAAGTGATGTCATACAATGGATATAAATATTTTGTCATTTTTGTTTATGATTATTCAAGGATGACGTGGCTCTATTTAATGAAAGAAATAAGTGAATTGTTTACCATTTTCCAAAAGTTTTATGCTGAGATTCGCAACCAATTTGGTGTTCACATTAAAATTTTTCGTTCTGATAATGGCCGTGAATATCTCTCTTCATCATTTCAGGAATACCTAGACCAACACGGCATTACCCATCAGACTTCATGTACCTACACCCCACAACAAAACGGGGTGGCTGAGAGAAAGATCGTCACCTCTTGAATACTGCTCGGTCCCTCATGCATCACATGAATGTTCCCAAATCCTTTTGGAGTGATGCAGTGCTTACTTCCTACTTCTTGGTTAACCGGATGCCCACGTCTATCCTCGATGGTCATTCTCCGTTCACCACATTGTTTCCTACCTTGTCTCCGTTTCCTCTCTCTCCTCAAGTTTTTTGATGTGTTTGTTTTGTTCATAATCTGGGGCTAGGAATGGACAAGTTAGATGCACGGTTTATTAAGTGCATCTTCCTTGGCTATTCCCGGACTCAAAAAGGGTATAAGTGTTATCACCCTAGCTCTCGATGTTCATTTGTATGTGCTGATGTTACTTTCTTTGAGTCTACTCCATTCTTCTTGGGGTCCGGTGATGTTTCTTCCTCCTCATCACCTCCTCCCCTTCCTCTTCCAGTTGTGGATTCTGTTCCTCTTGTTCCCGCAGTGACCAAGTCTTTGCCTTCGATGCCACCACCTGTTGAACGACCACCGATCCATCACATGTATACACATCGCCCACATGTACCGGCACCTCCTCCAGCTTCATCATTGTCGACAGATCTGGCAGCTGTTACCACACCAGCCCCAACCCTAGTACATGATCTTGATCTTCCCATTGCCTTGCGGAAAGGTAAGCATAGTTGTACCCTTCATCCTATTTCTAATTATGTTTCACTGACTCAACTTTCCAGTTCTCATCGCCAATTTATCTCTTTGTTATCCTCTATTGTTATACCTAAAGATGTCCAGGAAGCTATTGCCTCTCTAGGATGGTGTCGTGCAATGGAAGAAGAACTCTCAGCTCTGGCTCATAATCATACATGGGAACTCACCACTCTTCCTCCTGGTAAGCAGGTTGTTGGTTGTAAGTGGGTTTATACGGTTAAGTACTTACCTGATGGTAGTGTAGAGCAGCTGAAAGCTAGATTGGTTGCCAAAGGGTATTCCCAAACCTATGGTATTGATTACACAGAGACTTTCTCCCCGGTTGCTAAGATTGGTTCAGTCCATGTTGTGATTTCTCTTGCTGCGATGTATGATTGGCCCCTCTATCAGCTTGATATCAAGAATGCCTTCTTGCATGGTGATCTACTCGAGGAGGTCTATATGGAGCAACCACCGATGTTTGTTGCTCAGGGGGAGGATGGTAAGGTGTGCCGGCTACTGAAGACCATCTATGGGCTTAAACAGTCTCCTCGAGCATGGTTTGGCAGATTTAGTGAGGTAGTAAAGAAGCTTGGTATGAAACAGTGCCAATTTAACCATTCCGTCTTCAATCATGACTCTCAGGCAGGGAAGATCCTATTAGTGGTGTATGTAGATGATATTGTCATTACCGAGAATGAAAAAATGGGCATTGACAGGTTGAAGATCTTTCTGCATGATCATTTTCAGACAAAAGACCTTGGTAAATTGAAGTATTTCTTGGGGATAGAAGTAGCAAGGTCCAAGCATGGTATAAACTTGTGTCAGAGGAAATATGCTCTTGATTTGCTTGAAGAAACAGGTTTGTTAGGTGCTAAACCAGCTGAAACTCCTATGGAAACAAAAACTAAGTTGAGCAGTAATATGGGTGCAGTGTTTGAAGACCCTGGCAGATACCGGCGGCTGGTAGGTAAACTGAACTACCTAACCATCACTCGGCCATACATTTCATTCGTAGTTAGTGTGGTAAGTCGGTTCATGCAGAAACCTCTGGTTCCACATTGGGATGCGGTTATAAGGATTGTGAGGTATTTAAAGGGGGCCCCTAGTTGCAGTTTGATATACAGAAGTGGTTGAAAACTTGAAATAGAAGGATATACTGATGCTGATTGGGCCGGTTCTGCATCTGATAGAAGATCTACCACAGGCTATTGCACTTTTCTTGGGGGTAATCTGGTGACATGAAAAAGCAAGAAGTAGACAGTTGTGGCAAGAAACAGTGCAGAGGCAGAATATAAAGCTATGGCACATACTACTTGTAAATTAGTGTGGCTAAGGAACCTTCTACAGGAGATGAGATACACTATTGATACTCCAATGAAGCTCTACTATGACAATCAGGTTGCAGTTCACATTTCCTCTAATCCGGTGTTTCATGAGAGACCAAACACATAGAGGTTAACTGTCACTTTGTTAGAGAGAAGGTGCTGAGTGGAGTGATAGACACTACATATGTCAACACGGGGAACCAGTGGGCAGATTTGTTTACTAAAGGGTTGAGTCGRGGGAGAGGGGACTACATATGTAACAAGCTGTGATTATATGATATATACTCTCCAGCTTGAGGGGGAGTGTTAGTGGCGAGTATGTAGGGGTAATTTTGTCTTTGTGCTTGTGTTTAGGTGCTGATGTGTAAGTTTATGTTAGATTTAATGTCCCTAACTTAAGTAGGGGCATATGTGACTTTTCCACATTATTTTAGTAATATAAAATACATCTGGCCGAATGGGAGAGTGAACTTTTTCTCTCATTTGAACCAGAATCTTTTCTCCTTGTTTCTCTTCTACTCTTCTCCTTTCTCTCTTTCTCTCCTTCTCTCTTCTCTCTCTCTTCCTTGACCGTTATCAGTCTAACAGGCAGACCGAACACTAACAAAGGAGATTCAAAAGAAGTTGTGGGGTCAACGATGAAAACAGTACTGGTTCATGGAGGTACAAACATGTATTGAGCAAGATAAAGCATCTAACTGTGGTGGTAAGGGCTTTCTTTATGTGGACCCAAAGATCAGCCAATAGTATGGCTGATGCTTTGCCAAGACAAGGAGTGAAGAACAACCAACATTTTGGTGGTTAGTTTCCCAAGGGGAAAGTATGTAATATAAAATCAAGAATTTGTACAGTTGTAAATAGGGAAAGGTAGCAAAACTAACCCAATTATAAGGGTGTTTGGCACTTCAGATTGTTAAAGTAAACTGTTAATGATGCAAAAAAAAACTAACCTGTGCAAGGCCAGGCTGGAGAGCACATTGTATCATTAGACGCCCAATCACATCATGTGCAACAACTGTTTCAATAAGTTCTCCTCCAACAAGCTTCACTAATGGCTCATTGTCAAGATCACTCATTTCTACAACAATATGACCCCTCAAACCCTCCTTCACTCCAGTTAGGCTTAATACAACTCGCAAAGCACGTGCATCGCTCTGATAATGAACAATTTATGACAAGCATAACTCAGCACAAGTAACTCGCATGAAAAAGAATGTACAAGTTTTGGAAATTGAGAAAAGAGAATGAAACCTGATCTGCATTTTCATCAGATGCCAATACAATGATGGCACGTGCCTTTGAAACTGAAACCTGTACAAATGCAAACGGTAATATCAATTTAAAAATGGCATGACGCAGAAAATAAATGCACTAAGCCATTTTAGCATACTTTCTTTAAGTCGGCCAGTATGAGAGGACTGCCACTTCTGCATATGACAGAGGTCCCCATAAAGTCAAACTCTAGCTTTGATATGTCCATCTCCATTTCTTCCTTGTCTCTTTCTGCAAGCACCACAACTACCCCACCACCAATGCTCTTATTTGCAATTGATAGCTGCTTTAGAAGCGAGCCCTGTGGATTCTCTTTAGTCAGCAAATAGATATCTGAAGTATATAACAAAAGCGATGATATGCTGAGATGCAGTCAGCCAAAAGAACTCAAAGAGGAGTTAGAAAATGAAGTGGAGTTGGAAGTGGAGTCAAAAGAATATAAAGCACCTATCTTAAGAAAAGATGCTTGAATCTAATATTCAACATGAAGTGAAGTTGGAACAATCCTCTCAAGTTATGGCAGCATGTAACATGCTTTGTACTTCTGTGGTCTTTTATTCCTTAATCCCCTACATATATAGCAATTCTCTTTATAGATTTCTAGAATTCCAGAAACATGTTGACATAATATGTGCTAGATATTAGTTAACACACATCTCAAATGGATGTGTCTATCTTTATTTACATATAAAATACGCATAAAGATACATTACATGGTTTATATTCTACAATTTCAATTTCTACTCTTCTCATATTTACTTACCAACAAAGTGAAAGTGCACGTACATGCAGAGAAACATAAATCATACAAACATGTGTTTTTGTAGAGAACAGGTCCACATTTGTGAATGTTTTGTGGTCTTCCTATGTCTGACACCCTAATTCTATTCTAGGCATGACAATCAAGTCCACATCCATGAGTCATAGTTTATTCCAGAAGAACTGTTTGTAAAACCTAAAGTAGTAGGTATCCATCCAAAAAAAAAAGAAAACAAAAAAAGATTTAGTAGTAGGTAAATTATTTAAGCCTGCTGATATTGCATAGTGTGATCAAGTGTATTTAATGGACTGTGTACTACATGAGAATGCCAGGAGACATATGAGACTTTTTATGATCACTTTTTCCCTATCTTAGAGCATAAACTTCATCCTTTAGGAACAGGAAAAAATAATTAAGGGCCCGTTTGGTTTGCAGGAATAGGGGTCTGGAATCGGAATCGGAATGGGCCACTCCGGTTCCAACCATTTGGTTGGGCGGAATTGGAATCCCATTCCCATTCCTCGTGGAATGGCATAACCCCATTTGAGGGAATGGACATTCCCTCCCCCTCCCTTGGGAATGAAATCCCATTCCAGCTGATTTCCCATTCCCATATAGATTCCTGTTTGAACCAAACAGACTATGGGAATAGACCACTCCAATTCCAATTACGGAGGATTTTGAATCTGATTCCAATTCCAATTTCGAATGTGAACCAAATGGACCCTAACAGTTTTTTGATAGATAGCAAGATTTCACTCAAAGGTATAAACAGATATGTGCAAGGATATCAAAGAATATCCAGAAATTGGTGTAGGATTACCCCATTAGAAAGAGATTACAATTGATCCCCGAACAAAAGCTCCCTATTAACCCCTTGTTTGGCTACAGAATCAATCAACCCATTTCCCAACCTTAGGACCCACTGAATTGTTAATGTCATCTCCCTCGTTAGCCATTTTATCTTCTTAATAACATCCCTGTAAGTCCAGGCTACCTTTCTTCTCATCAAGTACCAAAAGAATACACGATTTCACGCTAGATATTTGAAAATGCAGAATATCACTTGTAATCCTATTACATGAAATTTCCATTATGACTAGTATTTAAACAACATGGTTAATACTTCTCATAAAATTCCTAAATTCTAATGATGAACATAGCTTGTGAGGTTAAGATGACAATAAAGGCAAAAAATATTAGTACTATTTTAACGATGATTATCATTTTACAAAGGCAGTAACTTTAAACAAAACAATTTTTTTGTTCCTTCTTTTCTTTTTTCACATGGAAAATAGCAATGACCTGGATTCTAAGTTCAAACAATTGCAGAATTTTTTTCTGTCAGCTCATTTCAAGTTTAATACACCATTTCCAAACAATTGCAAATAGATGCATCAAAGGAGATATTCTTCACTCACTGACAATGAAAATCAGCAAAGGCATTTCATAATTAAGAACAAATTTTCAAGCAATGAACCACAAATTTATAAATCCTTGACACAAAAATAGTTCATGGATAGAGAATCTTCCAATGTAAAAATTGTAATTGCACAGTGGAGCTTAGGAGATTTACAGAATTAAATGGTTAGTGAATAAAACTGAAACACTACAAAAACTTTATGAAAGTAGTGCATCTCAAGGTTATGGTTTGACGTTGAGCGTGAACCAGGTCCTTTTACCATCAAAACTTAATAAAGAAAATAATGCCTAAGTCTCTTGAATTACCAATTTGTCGCTCCAACCAAGTATTAATATGTGGTTACTTTCTATGACTTCACTTTTCCCTTTCCGTAGTGAATCAACCTTCTCTGAAATTGCATCAGAAACAAGGCCAAGCATCATTGCAAAGATTAGCATGCCTCCTGAGCTTATGAACACAGACACAACCCTTGGCCCAATCCCAACTCTGTCAGCATGATTTCCGGAGTCTGCTACAAAAGTCCATGAAAGCCAAAGAGCCTCAGAAAGGTTACAATCACCAACAGCATACAATGCTAAGCCACCAAATCCAATAAGAAGTACAGTTGCAAGAAGAAGTGCAAACAGCTTCGCATATGGATAGACAGAGAAGAATACATCCACCCTATATGCAATTCTCTTTTTCAATGGAACCTCTTCATCATTACTCTTTTTGGCATTCTTTTGGAGAGTCTTTATTCGGGGAAAGTAGTCCACAGATTTGTATAATAAAAATGGTGTCACGAGTATAACCACCACAGTGTATAAAGCAACACTTCTATTGTTATCACTACCAAAATATGAAAACGAACTATGGTCTTCCTGCTGCAAAACTTTGTTGTTGTCAGCACGAACTAAATCCTTTCCGTTACACATCTTACGAAGGTTAATAATATCTTCCTGCAAGCAAAGTAGATTCAATAAAAGAAGGATCTTTATACTCATTTCCCCATTTTTTCCACATGCAAATTTCCAACTCACAAACACTTTAAATTAATACCTGGAACCCTGCGACTTTCACTCGCAGAGAAACTGCACATAACACAGATAATATACAAGTAGTGGTGATCTGAAATAGAAGAAAACCAAAGAGAACATGTTCGAAGCTGGTAAGAATGCATCTAAATAGATAAATCACAAACTGAATACATTGACCAGCCAACTTCATTTTCTTAAAAAAGAACTCAAAACTCAAAAGCTAACCATTGGAAAGAAGAAAGAAGTTTTGAGTTGAGGAATCGTTCTAAAAAAGTATGGTATCATTGCAGAATGAGATGAACAAGAAGGAGAAGCATTAGACACTAGAACGGGCCCCTGCTTCATTTCTTCTTCCGCTTTCTTTTTCTCCTGGGAAACAGGAAGAGCCGGGGAAACAATCTGATCAATTTGATCTGCCGCCTCAATGCTTCCAGAACTTGAGTTCGTCGCAATGGGGGTATCAGACAAAAGAGACAATTCATGTTTTGAAGACCTTTCTGCCTTAACCTTGGTTCGACTCCGATCAACATGGGGACCGACGAACGATGGGAACAGCCAATCCCTATCAGCAATTCCTTCATTACCCTTTTCCAACAAATCCCCACAAGTAGAACCTCGATTAGCAAATGGAGGAGAAGTTGACACGCGACGAGCAGCAGATAATCGAGACCTGGGGAAGACATGGGCAGTTCGGTTATCGTCAGAAATTATCCGGGATTTCTTCAGCAGAGGAGGGCTTTCGAGTTGAACAGTGTTAGAGCTTGAGTTTGAATCTCCATCGCTCTTAGGCATTCTGCCGAAGAGGGAGAGTGCTTGGCTGGTTGGTTCATCCGCCGTTAGAGATATGGTGGTCTCTGCAGGAAGAATAAGGTCAGAGAGGGTTGGGAAGAGGGTCTGCAAGCTCTGAGAGACAAATTAGGGTTTTGTCAGGGGAGGTGGAGCTGACACAGTAACGATGGTGATGACTGATGACGATGTTTCTGGTTTTCTCGTTAGCGGTTTTTTGTTGAACGGTGGAGTCGGATTGGTATGCGAACGAAATAAAATGCTGCAAGTGGAAAACCCCCAAACTTACCAAGCATAGTCACCTTCACTGTAAATATGTCGGATCCAGGATAATATGTGGGCCCTCGTGGCCCATGTGGTCTCAGCTACTTCGCCGTGGCCGTTGATCACTCCCGAATTCAACGTTGATTGATCGGGATCACATGGCTGGTCAAGGCGGTCAGATCAGAGAAATTGGGCGGACCGGATGGACTAATTAAGACAGTTTGGACCCATCAACCACTTTGTTACCAAAAAAACGAACTGTTACACTGCGAGTTAGGGGTGGATTCTAGCCGACCCGAGCCAAATACTGTGAGGCTCGAGCTCGGCTTGCCAAGATTGTATAAGGCTCGAGTTCGGTTTGAGTTAGAACATTGAGCTTGGGCCGATTCGAGTCAAAAATTCATAAGTTCAAGTTCGGCTCGGCTCGGCTCGATTTCGATTTGAGGAAAAATGTTTTATAAAAATAAAAAATTATATATATAAATGTTTTTATTTGATATTTAAAAATTTAAGAATTATAATATTTATATATATATATATATATATATTCAAGCTTAGTTCGTGAAGTTCATGAGCCGAGCCCTATTAGGCTCAAACTTGGCTCGTTGATTAATCGAGCCTGTAAATTGGGCTCGAATTCAGCTCGAAGCTCGATTGAAATCGAGCCAAACCGAGCCATTCTCGAGCAGCTCGTTAAAAGCTCGGCTCGTTGCCACCCCTAACTACCACATTAGCACCAAGTAGGCGACTAAGCGTTTCGACTTTCGAGTTCAACAGCTAATGGATGATCTGACTTGGCATGAGCTGAAATCCAACGTGGTGATGACATATAAATCGCAAAGCACCGGATGGTATACAACGCAAACCAAGTTGTGATCTGGTTGACACAATTCGATTGTGGACTTGGGCCAGGCATGAAGTAAACTGGGCGGACCAGCTGGCTTGTGTTTGGTACATGCAGCGTTGGACTGCTCAAGGCCCATGTGGGTTATTCAGGTGCACCCTCCATGAACCTACTTTTGGTGACGGATGCCACGTTGTCAACGGCTTGATTTTGATACGGGTTTGGGCCAACCCGAATCCAAAACCAAAAAAAATAATAAACTCTAACCCAAACCTGATATGACCCGGTTGAATGAAGAGGCTCAACCCAACTCAACTAAGCCTTTATACATAAACCAGTGCAACCCCGTGAGAAGTACAGGCTTGGTTAAGCTTCAGCCCCAATAAGAGTAGCCAAATTCTTATGCTTCCCACTAATGTTATAAATAGATACCCATTAATCCATTATTAGTTTTCGATAATTTTTAATATTAAATGATTTATTAACTAATGTTTTTAATTACTTGTTATTTATTAAACTAATATTAAATAATTTAATACTTATTTAACTAATATTTTTCAATAATATTAAATAATTTAATAAATGACTTTTTATTATTATCAATATTATTATTAAATAATTTTGTTAAATTATTTTTACTTAATTTTGAGGTTACTAACTCAATTATTATTTAAATTCATATTAATAACTTTATTATTAATATTTGTAATTAATAAAATAATAATTTATTTATTATCGGTTTTATGAATTGTTAGTTTTTTATTGATGACTTATTTTTTAATTATTGGTATATAAAATTTATTTAATTTTTAATCATTCTTAACTTAGTAATATCGCTAAATGGATTTTAAATTATAATTTTGGCCATATTCAATTAAATTTGAATAATTTTACTATGTTTTAAATAATTTTATTTTTAAATGGAAATTAGATGTTTTTTAATTACTAATTTTTATTAGTTATTTTTTTTATAAAAAATAGTTATTTCTATTCTTTCTTCAATAACTTTTATTAATTTGAGTTATTTGAAAATGGAATTTTTATTATATTGAAATAATTTTTATTATATTTAATTAAATTTTATTATTTCGAAAAGGATTTTAATTTTAACTAACAATTTTTATTAATTATTGAATTATTGTTAGATAAATGTGTACTAATTTTTCTTAGGGTCATGCATTCATGGGTCCTCTATTTTATACAAATCCCTTATGTGCTCACGCCAGGCCCATTTAAATTTCAACAAAAGCTCAACCTGAACCACCCAAGTTGCACCCTTTTTATTTTTTATTTTTTAGAGCCAACAAATACGAGAATTGAATTTAATCCTATGCCGCCATAATCAAAGTGATGCCTAGCAATTGGGTCATTAGCAAGTTGCACCCCTAATGTGTAGTATATCAAATCCATGTTTCTTATTTCCAATGGATTTTAAATCATAATATTATTAAGGGTAAATTTCTTAAACTATCCTTATGGTTTAGTTAATTGACTTATTGTACCCCTACTGTTTGAAAATTGTTTGACACTACCTCTACTATTTCTGACAATTGACTAGCTCTACCCTTATGGTTTGCATCCGTTAATATTCCGTTAAATTCATATTCAGATCACAGTATATTTTTTTAAAACCCAGTTTTACCCTTTCTATCTTCTTCCTTTCAACAGCAAACCAAATTGGTTCCCTTGGGTTCATATTTCTTCTTAGAGCTCAAGATTTGTGAAGTGTAGATTTCTGGCGTTACTTTTGGTATTTTTCTTGAAGCTCAAGATTTGTGAAGTGGCAAATTCCCGGCATTGCTACTACCAAAGTTCCATGTTAGTAGCGACAAAATGATTAGTACACGATCCTCGGACCTCCGTCTAAATTCAAGCTTCTTTCCCTTACAACTACCGCCGTCACTATCTTGTCTTCACCTTCGCCTTCCATTAAGTCCTTTCCAACGAGTGGCAGTGGTCCGGTTCATTAAGTTTGACTTTTAGTGGAATTTAAATGTTTTTTAATTAATATTGTATTAACTATTTTATTGAAATTGTTTGTAGAATAATATTTTTATTTATGTTATATTATGTTTTATTGTTTAACCTCAGCCTATTCATATTATTTGATCAATTAATGTTTTATTTGCACTCTCTCTCTCTCATGTGTACTTACATGGTCATAACATAATAGGATAGGTTTGCCATTTAACTAACCCATTGACATTGTCCCTACTTTTAGTTATTAGCATGGTTTTAAAAACATCATTGATTTGTTCGACTTGGAAATTAGTCACCTATGTTTACTACTTGACCCTGATTTTTCTAAAACACTAGTAGAATGGCCTGTGCAATGTACGAGATATTTGAACCAATGAATGATACCACAACCAGATGTAGATCTTAACCAAGTTGGGTGTAGCCACTTGTTTGATTCTTCACTACTTGTATTAGTGTCAATCTGTTTGATTGTCCCAAAATGAAATTACACTTCAATTACTTCATCATAATTGAGTGTAAGTGGTAATGTTAAGAAAACAAAACTGACTTAAAACATGATCAAGGATTTCATTTGACATATAATGTAATGTGTGTATATAAGTACGCAAAAAGTTTCATATTGCAACATTAGCACAATGGCTTAGAGGGCTGCGGAACCAATCATAATGCTTCGTGCCAATCATAAATTAAAATCCAAGGAATGGTCTTAATTGGAATGGTATGGCATAGATTCAGTCCAATTAAAGAGCCTAGCAGTAGGAGGGTTTCTCTCAACTTTCTAGTGCAAGATGTTGAAACCAAACCTAGAAGATGCCAAAAGCAAACCAGCACGAGGGTTTTGCTCTTAGCTTGCAAGTGCAAGATGTTGAAAGCAAACAACTTGGATCTTCATGTAGAACAAGCACTAAGCTTTGGTATTTTTATGGTGTCTTTCGCTGATCGTTAAGAGAATTAGGCGTGTGAGAACTTACAAATTACAAAACACCAAAAAATGCTTAGAAATTACATATATAAATTTGATTTGGGCATATGTAAGTGTATGACTGAGGTATAAGGCTAGGTTGAGGGGTGGTTTCTTTCAAAAACGAAGAAGAGCCTTCAAGGAAGACAAAAGCCTTTTGGTAAGGGATTAGGAAATGAGGGGGTTGTGGAAACTCGGGAGTATTAGTAGCAAAATGCTCAAGATTCAATGATGTCTAACACAATGAGGACCCTCTATTTATGGAGAAATTCCCAAAATCCTAAAAGATAGGAGACGATGATATTTGCTCTATATCGGGGGAGGGAATATTTGGCTTGCTGGCAATTATTGGATACGCTACTGGGGTATCACCACGTGTCTCATGAAGATATTCTCAAGGACCAACTTTCCTTATCCTCGAGATCCCTCATTACTCACGTGTACTACTACCCCTTTTGTGCGCCATGACTAATCCCGTGTGGCGACAATGACATCACCGTCCGAAGGTCGGTATTTTGTTAATGCCTCATGGCGGTTCACAAGGTGCTTCGTTGTCATGGGTTTGCGTGTGTTTGGGCACATGCGTGCCTCGCCATGGGCTCAGCCCATTGGCCTTCCTGACCCGCCACCCATAATGGGTTTGCAGGTGGTGAGTTTCCTACACGTCACCGCGAGTGTGGCTTCATTGCACACTCGAATGTGCTTGGGTCTTTTAGGCGAATCTTTCTAAGACTTGTTTAGGTTTGGGCATTGGCTGGGCTTGGTGGGCCGTGGGTTTATCACGGCTCTGCTTAATATGTTGTGGATTCATTACGACAGTGATGATGAACTATAAGTTCATCGTAGCATGGGGAGTTGACTGTAGGCTGCTTGTAAGTGTTTTTGTGGTGTTAATCTTGGTGTTTGAGTGCTCTTTGAGGGTTTGAGTGAGCTGTATACACCAACAGTAAACCTACCAAAGACACATGATTAAATACTGAATTAAACCCAAAGATGAAAAGTGCTTAAAACTTATAAATCAAAACTCATTAAACCAAAACCCTAACTGCTTAAAATTAATTAAACAAAAATAATTATCAAAAAACTCAATTTTGAACTAAAGCATGATGTGAAACCAAAACTGCTATTGCATTTTCATAACTTAAAAGAGTAAAAGAGATAATAATAGAACTTTACAATTGTGATAAAGATGATATTGAGTACGATTTTGGCATATATTG